GGGCAAACCGGCCCAACACAAGCCAAATAAAAGGAAGGGAGAAAAAAGGGAAGCAAAAGTTGCGCATGAATATTGGGTATTATGCAAAAAGCCCAAAATTGTCCAAGAATAAAATATACTCAAGGCCGAAGCCAGCTACTTATTGGGGAGAAGTCGGCTACGCATACGATCCTTGTCTTCACAAATCTTCAACAGTGCATCTGACGAATCAATTCGATCCACTCTCAGAGGAAAAACAAGCGCTTAAACCATATCGCCTCTGACAAAACTCTCCACTCCAATCTGATGCTGATGATGAAGCAGAAAGAATTAGCCCTAATTTATCATAATTGCTCATGCAAACAGTATCCCCAAGGGTCAGCGGCTCGGAATCAGGATTTTCTTCTAAGTCTTTCAACAATTTCCTACCTTTCCGTGGGGGATAGATATTCTATGCTTACAAGAAACAAAAATAGATGAGTGGAGAAATTTCTTGATTAGTCAAATATGGGGGGGAATAGATGGGTGGCATGGGCTGAACTGAAGGCGTATGATAGCAAAGGGGGATCCTAATTATATGAGATAAAAGGAATTGGAATTGTGTAGACCCTGAAGTGGGGAACTTTTCAATCTCCTGCAGATTCAAAAGTTTATTAGAAGATTTCAATTGGGTATTCACAGGAGTGTAACCCTTAAATAACTGTTCTTTGGCACGCACTTGCACCAATCAGGGGGTTGTGGTCTGACAAATGGGTAATTGGTGGAGATTTTAATGTATGCAGATTTGAAATTGAGAGATTAAATTGCATAAAAAGATCCAGGGCTATGTTGGGCTTCTCAGACACAATCCAAGAGTTAGGTCTGATTAATCCACCACTTCAGGGAGCTTTATACACATAGTCAAGAGTTGAGGCTTCTCTACAAGCATCAAGGATAGATTTCTATTCTCAACTGAATGGAATGAAATGTTCAATAATGTGTACCAAATTGCTATGCCCAGAGTAATTTCATATCATAAGCCAATCCTTTTAGAGAGTGGAGATTGGAAAACTACACCTTCTTATTTCAAATCTGAAAATATGTGGCTCAAATCAGAGGGGTTTCTGGACAAGATAAAGGGATGGTGGCAATCTTATTCAGTTACCGGCAACCCAGATTTCATCCTTATCCAGAAACTAAGGAGCCTAAAGAAGGATCTTACTAGATGGAACAAAGAAGTCTTCGGTAACATGGAAACCAAAAGGAACAAAGCTCTTGCTGATTTGCAATTACTAGAGCAAACAGCAGAACATAGAGTTCAAACACTAGAGGAAAAGATGAAATCATTCAACTTGAAATTGGAACTTGAACAGTTGGCAATTGCTGAGGAAACCTCCTGGAGGCAAAAGTCCAGGTGTCTGTGGCTGAAGGAAGGACACAGAAACACAAAGTACTTTCAAAAAATGGCAAACTCAAGAAGAAGGGGTAACTGTATTGATAGACTCAAAGTGGGAGAAGAGATAATTGAAGATAACGGATTGATCAAGTAGGAAACTCTGAGCTACTATCAGAATTTGTACATAGAGAAGGAAGCATGGAGACCTTCAGTAGAATTTACAAGGTTACACACAGTCAGCTCAAACGACAGAGAGGACCTGAAAATCTCCTTTTGAGGAACCAGAGGTCCTTGCAGCCTTAAATTCCTGTACCCCAGACAAAGCACTAGGCCCAGATGGTTACACCATGGCATTTTTTCAAAAAATGTTGGGAGGTTCTCAAGTCAGACTTCATGAGAGCCCTTAACCATACCACCAACATGGTCATATGGTTATATCTTGTAATGCTTCATTCATAGCGCTCATCCCAAAGAAGAAATGTGAAATTGAGCTTAAGGATTTCAGACCAATTAGTCTAATAGGCAATATCTACAAATTAATGGCGAAGATCCTTGCTGAAAGAATGAAAAGAGTTATTGGGAAGCTGGTCTCTGGTCAACAAAGTGCCTTCGTCAAAAATAGGAAATCACATATGCATCCTTGATTGCAAATGAAGTTTTGGATTGGGGAATCAAAAATGGGGGAAACTGGCTTACTGTGCAAACTCAATATTGAGAAGGCTTTTGATCAATTAAACTGGTCATACCTTATCAACATGCTGAAGATGATGGGATTTGGTGACAGATGGATTAGGTGGATTTATTTCAACATTTCTTCAGTGAAGTATTTTGTGCTGTGAATAGGAGTCCGGTAGGTTTTTTCTCCCCACAAAAGGGCCTCAAGCAAGGAGATCTTCTTTCTCCATCCCTCTTTTTACTGTCCATGGAGGGCCTTACACAAATGCTGGTCAGAGCCAAGGAGATGAATTGGATACAGGGGTTTCAAGTGGGCAGAAATCCAGCTAATTGAGTCACTGTCTCCCATTTGCTATATGCAGATGACACACTGATCTTTTGTGGAGCAGAGAGACTCCAAGTATCTCATCTCAATCTCACTTTGCTCATCTTTGAAGCCATTTCTGGATTACACATCAACATGCTTAAAAGCACCATATACCCAGTCAATGAAGTCTCCAACCTAGAAGAATTAGCAGAGATCTTGTGTTGTAAAATAGGATCTCTCCCCATTACATACCTAGGTTTACCTTTGGGTGCTAAATACAAATCAATCGGAGTATGGAGTGATGTTGTAGAAAAAGTGGAAAAGAGACTCACAACTTGGCAAATGCAGTATCTCTCAATGGGTGGCAGACTCACTTTAATTAGCAGTGTTCTTGACAACATCCCTACTTACTGTATATCCTTATACCCTATGCCAAGCTTAGTTCTGAAACAGCTAGACAGATTGAGAAGGAGGTTTCTATGGGAGGGCAACAACACAACTCACAAATTCCCTTTGGTGAAATGGGCCAAAGTTATTCAGCCTAAATCTGATGGGGGAATGAGACTCGGGAACCTAAAGCTCCATAACAAAAGCATGTTAATGAAGTGGTTATGGAGGTATGGGTGGTGCACTAAAGAAAACAATGCCCCACATGGGTGGAAACATATCAGGTCTCTTCATACTGATTTTCTCCAAAAAATAACATACAGAGTTGGCAATGGCTCTCATGTAAAATTCTGAGAGGACATATGGATTGGTAACACAACACTGAGAGAATCATATCCTGGATTGTATTAGATAGCTAGTCGTCAGAATTCATTGGTTGCTCACAATAGGGAGGGGAACATTTGGAATCCTCTATTCAGAAGAAACTTCCAAGACTGGGAAATTAATGATCTGCTTCTACTATTTTCCACATTGGAAGAATGCAAAATTGAAGAGCATCAACCTGACAGACTCATCCGGGGCAACTCAACAGGAGGAAAGTACACAATCAAGGCCAACTATAACCTCCTATGTTCACAGAATGGGATGCTTGAGGACTGGCCTTGGAAACATGTCTGGAAGGACTAGACAACCACTCAAAGTATCTTGCTTCACTCTCAGAGAAGCTTGCTTAACACAAAATAACCTAAGAGGAAGAGGTATTGTACTAGCTAACAGATGCTATCTATGCCAGCAAATTCAGAGAGTGTCAACCATTTGTCTCTTCATTGCGCAATAGCAGGTGACATCTGGAATTTCTTCTACTCTATTTTTGGCTAAGCATGGGTGATGCCTTTCCACATCAAAGATGCATATGTTAGCTAGATTTTTTGGAGAGTTGATAAAGCCATCAAGAGGATATGGAGAATGATCCCTGTTACAATTTTGGTGCTTATGGAATGAAAGGAACCGCAGATGTTTTGATGGAATCTCAACTCCATTACACTCTTTAAAAGCTATCTTTTTAGTTAGCCTGTTTAGTTGGAACTTCCATACTCCTGTTAATAGTGTGGATACTTTTTTGGATTTTGTTAGCTCCCTGATCTTAGCTTAAACATTGTACATGAGCTAATTCAGTGTCTTCTTAGACACTGTGCACTTTTGTCATTGTAATTTGCGTCTTCTGGATGCCTTATTAATACAATCTCTTACTTTATCAAAAAAAAAAAAAACACTTTTTTCACTACTAAAAACTTATTCTATTTCCAGCATTCTTGTTGTCAACATGAATTTAGCTCATTTTTCTCTAATCCCTTTGACATCTATAACCAAAAATTAAGCATAAATTAATGAATCCAAATAGATCTCTGTTTCAAGTCTAAAGATAAAAAATTGAATTATTTACGATCCGTAGACTCAGCTATATCTAAATGTCAGAATGTGCCATTGGATCAACTGTCATATCTTTTCGAAGATTTTGCCAGTGATAGTTAAGTTACACTTTCCTTTCTTTTGTTGTCTTACTCTTACACCTAAGATACCAAATGAATTTTTTTTCCCTTTTTATCTTTCTACCCAGTGGCGGATCCAGAAATTTTAAGTGATGGGTGCTCGCGGATAAAAAATCCGAAAAAAGAGGGAAAAGGAGTTTAGTTGTGGGTGCTCACTCTATATTTATCTAACTATTTTTATAATTGTCTATGCAAATTTACTAAATCTGGTTAAAAGTAATGGGTGCTCAAGCACCCATAAGTGTCCATGTACATCCGCCACTGTTTCTGCCTTGAAGGAAACCTTGGAGTAACGGTAAATTTGTTTTCGTGTGTTTATAGGTTACAGGTTCGAGCCGTGAAAGCAGCACTAACATTTGCATTAGAGTACGTAAATACGGAATACCTTGTGTACCGGACTGCTGTTTTTGCCATTCTAATTCGCGTATGCTTTTCTCCATCATCCCTATCCAGTTAAAAACCACAGGTTATACAAGCAGAATAGCAAACAATAAATAATACATACACTTCAATCTCAAGTAAATTGCAATTGATTATATGAATTATCACCATTTGTGTCGTCCATTTAAGCTTGTCAAAGTCTAATATTATATTATAAGAAACTAGGTTATCTAACACTAGAATTTCTCTACATATACAACTGGTCTATAAATCTCTAACAAGACTAAAAGATCTCTAACCAATATTTGACCTCACGTAAATGTACTAACGTAACTGCCTAGCAAAGTAAGACAAGAGAACATTTTATTTAGAAGAATATTTGTATGTACAAATTACAACGAAGATGTATACGAGACAAACTTGACACCAGCCAATATTTCAAAATTATATTGAAGAGAGTTAACTTAGTCATTTCTCTTTCAGCCATATATATTTTCCCATATAGAAAGCATAAAAAAAAGAGAAAAATAAAATCACTGTTATGCCTATGATGACTTTAGTAGGGAAGTGAGACTAATGAAGTAATCTTCACTGCATGGAATTGTGAGACCACCCATTGGATGGTTATATCCAAACTCTTCTTTAGCCCAATGTAACAAATCTTGAAATAAAGGTTGGTTCAAATATGCTATTGGAACAACAAATCTCCTACATGTTTCACCAACATACACTGCAAAATGCCCCTTTGGAACTTGATTAGTTGTTGCTAACATGCTTCCATTTCTATGTGAAATCGATTTTCGAATTCGAAGCTTGTCTTTGGCATGAACTATACCAATTAAACTTCTTCCCATCTTTGCAAACAGAAACAACAACAACAACAATAACAAACTCAGTATAATCTCACAAGTGGGGTTTGAGTAGTGTGTATGACTGACTGTACGCAGACCTTATCCTTACCTTATGAAAATAGAGAGGTTGTTTTTGAAGCTGTGAAAAAAGAAAGTGAATTGGAAATTTTGAAGTGTTTGCAATGGTAGCTTTGAGAAGTAGAGTTATTATATATAGAGACACTCAATTCATCAAATTGTGAATAAAGAAGAGTAAGTGAATTTGGTAAACATATGGGTAGATATTAGCAAAAGATCACATGGTATTGTTAATATATTATAAGACAACATGTGCTACCACTTTAGGGTACAAAGAAGAATAATAAGAAGATTTCACTACTTAAAAAATGTGATATGCTGATATTTGTATCTGGCTCTATACAAATAGTTCACTCACTACATTTCAAAATTTACGATTGTTTGTTGATATACCTAATGGTTTTTCTCTATAAGTGAGGATCCCAAAGAGGTTGTTCTCTATTATAGGAGCATTGAATTTGGACTTGCATTATTTTAGTCGCAAATTTACAAGAAAAAAATGAGTGGGGTCATTGGGTTAATTATGCAGATTCTTGAAACTAGAACCTCACCTCAGCTTGTACATTTTTTCCTATTAAATTTGGTTAGTTACGTTGATCAAGAGTTGTGCTTATACGTTGCTGTGTTCAAGAATAAGAGGCCGTTTGGCCATGAAATTTTTTTCACTTTTTTTGCAAAAAAAAAAAAAAAAAATCACTTTTTTTTTTTAAAGCAGTGTTTAGTCATAAAATTTTCAATTTTCACTTGGAGATGAATTTTGGAATTTTTCAAAAATTTAAAAAATTCCAAAAAGCTGTTTTTCAAAATTTTCACTCACAAAACTACAAAAACAACCCAAAATTATATTCATGTCCAAACAAAACTCTAATTTTCAAAGATCATTTTCACTTGAAAAAAGAAATTCACTTTTTTCGGATTTTTACAATTTTTTTGTCCAAACGCCCACTGAATGCCTTAATTGACAAAAATTTATGCTCAAGAATTGGATTTTAACTTTTGAAATTTGAAATTTGAATTTTGAACCTGTTTAATTTGTTTCTGAAGTGGATTTATTGTTATGATTCCTAAAAATAGAATTCTTCTTCGGCTAAATTTAGTACATGACTTAAAAATCATTGTTTCGTTTTCACTTGTATATTCAAGTACACGTTGAGGAAACTGTATATGTTTTTTCTGGTACATTAAAAAGATGTTAGGATTGGGAAAGTTGGTCTGAGAAATGAAATAAGAGACTAGGGTATTAATAAAAATGAGACACGTGGCAATACAAGGGAGATTCAAGATTAGATCAAAGGTCTGGATTAGAAGCTAAATCAACGGTAGAGATTAGAAGCTCAATTCCATCCAAGGGTCCAGAAAATAAGAGCAGTTACAAATTGGGTTGTTATAACCAAATTTGGGTTGGCCCAGCATTTCAGTTTTGGACTGGTATTCTTCTCTCTTCTCTCTCGTTCCTACTCTCTTCTTCTTCATTTCTTTTCCTCATTCTTCTTCTTCCTATCCTAATTCTTTTCTTCATTTCAGGTTGAAGTCATCAATGGAGTTGCAGATTAACTCAGATTAACTATTAGATTTGTAATTCCATTGTAATTCAATTGATTGCTACTGAATTCTAATAAAATCCTTCGACCATTTCCATTTATTCTTTGATTACAATTCTAAAAATAGTAGAGTCCATTACAATTGGTATCAGAGCCCCTTCCTGGCCCATTAACGATGACAGGAGCAGAAACACGATCGAAATCTACAGACGAATCAATTAAGAAGTTGGAAACCCAATTGCAGAATTACATGTTATCTAATGATTCAAAAATTGATGAATTAGGTAACAAAATCGAGAAATTGATGGAGAAGATCATTGTGCCTCAAGGAGGAATTCTGGGTAGTGCACCAGCTGAAGGAATGCAAATCATGGGATCTGGTGGTCGAACTAGAGCTGGAGAAAGTGGTGAAACCTCATTTGGTCGATCCCAAGGGAATTATCTTCATTCCAAGTGGGAAATTCCCTATTTTGACGGGGTGGATCCTTGTGCTTGGTTGTGAAAATGTGAGAGGTACTTCCAGTACAATCACATAATTGATCCACAGCAGAAACTGGAGGAAGTTGTACTTCACCTTAATGGTAAGGCAGAGTCTTGGTTATTTTCCTATCATGTTAGCAAGGGTATTGTTAGATGGGCAGATTTTACAACAGAAATCTGTAACAAATACGAAGGTGCAACTAACAGTAAACTCAATCTAACTGGGAAATTTAAAAACATAGAACAAAAAGGTATTGCTAATGAATATTTGGAGCAATTTGAAGATTTAAAGGCTTGGGTGCTGATTCGAAATCCCACTATACCTGAGGATTTTTTCTTAGAGTTTTTCATTGAAGGACTCAAGGAAGAAATCAGACACCCTGTTAAACTACTAGAACCATACTCATTTAGTAAGGCTGTGGAGAAAGCTAGGCATCAGGAGAATATGATGGAGTACCTAAACAAGAAGGAAGGGACACAAAGAAATAAGGGCTTAACTACCAACTACTCTACTCAGATCACTAGAGCACCTAACAATTCAGTGAGTGGCCAAGGCAATAAACTGTTTGAGAATAGAAGAGCTCAAGGACTGTGTTACAAGTGTGGAGAGAAGTATTATCCTGGGCACCAGTGCAAACAGAGACAACTAAATGCTATCTTTGCTAGCACTGATCAGGAGAACATTGAAACAGAGGGCACAGGAATTGAAGAAATAGAGCCTTACTTCCAGGAAGAGGAAGTAGTAGATGAAGCCATTAGCTTAAATGCCTTATCAGGAACTGAGGTTCCTAATACTATCAGACTGAGGGGTGAATCTAAGAAAAATAGTATGTCAATTCTGTTGGACTCGGGGAGTACACACAGCTTTCTAGATATAGAAACTGCTAAAAAAATGGGATGTACTATCAAGGATACCTCCCCTATGAGAGTGACTGTGGCTAATGGAAACCATGTGATGAGTTATCACACTTGTCCACTCTTTAAGTGGAAGATCCAAGGGGTAGAATTTGAAGATTCAGTGAGGTTGATTAGATTGGGAGGGAATGAGATAATTTTAGGAGGGGACTGGATGAAGAAACACAAGCCTGTACTTTTGGATTTTATAGAGTACAAGGTGGAGGTGACTCATAGAGGAAAAAGAGTGGAGTTGAAAGGGATTTACAGCCAAGGGGAACTAAAAAGTATGTCTGCCTATGGGGTGAAACAGTTACTCAAGAAAGGGAAGACAGTTTGGGCTCACCTATTCACTATTTCAGCTACAGAAGAGCAAGAGGAAAGGGAGATACATGCAGCAATCAGCACACTCCTCAATCAGTTTGTAGATGTATTTGTTGAGCCTACTTCCTTACCACCCAAGAGGAATCATGATCATCACATTCCCCTGAAGACAGATGCTAATCCAGTCAGTATTAGACCATACAGGTACAATTTTTTTCAAAAGAATGAAATAGAGAAGCAAGTAAATGAGATGCTACATAATGGACTGATACAACCCAGTCATTCTCCTTTTTCTTCCCCTGTACTTTTGGTCAAAAAGAAGGATGGTAGTTGAGGTTTTGTATTGATTATAGAGAATTAAATAACATGACCATTAAGGATAAGTTTCCAATTCCTCTAGTGGAAGATTTAATGGATGAGCTATGTGGATCAAGTGTATATTCTAAGATTGATTTGAGAGCAGGCTATCACCAAATCAGTGGAGCCTTTTCTTTCCAAAATCCCGGAACAAAAATCGAGGATCTCCCAGAACAAAACCGTAGGGCTTTTCTTTCCAAATCCCGGAACAAAAAACTCGAGGAATCTCCCGGAACAAAACCGTGGAGCTTTTTCTTTCCAAATCCCGGAACAAACACCGAGGATCTCCCGGAACAAAAACCGTGGAGCTTTTTCTTTCCAAATCCCGGAACAAAAACCGTGGAGCTTTTTCTTTCCAAATCCCGGAACAAAAACCGAGGATCTCCCGGAACAAAAACCGTGGAGCTTTTTCTTTCCAAATCCCGGAACAAAAACCGAGGATCTCCCGGAACAAAAACCGTGGAGCCTTTTCTTTCCAAAATCCCGGAACAAAAACCGAGGATCTCCCAGAACAAAAACCGTAGAGCCTTTTCTTTCCAAATCCCGGAACAAAAACCTGAGGATCTCCCGAACAAAAACCGTGGAGCTTTTTCTTTCCAAATCCCGGAAACAAAACGAGGATCTCCCAGAACAAAAACCGTGGAGCTTTTTCTTTCCAAATCCCGGAACAAAAACCGAGGATCTCCCGGAACAAAAACCGTGGAGCCTTTTCTTTCCAAAATCCCGGAACAAAAACCGAGGATCTCCCAGAACAAAAACCATAGAGCATTTTCTTTCCAAATCCCGGAACAAAAACTGAGGATCTCCCGGAACAAAAACCGTGGAGCTTTTTCTTTCCAAATCCCGGAAACAAAACCGAGAATCTCCCGGAATAAAAATCGTGGAGCTTTTTCCTTCAAAAATCCCGGAACAAAGACCGAGGATCTCTCTACACATGCCTGATTCGATTGTTTAGATCCATGTCACAGCTAACTCACGAAATTTTCCTAGTGAAAACTTGGGCAGAAAATTTCGTTCGTTTGTTTGTTTTGGTATCATAAGCAGGTTAACCTCAAGACGCAAGGTGTGAGATGATCAATGGAATAAATCTCAATCCGGAATCAAGAAAAGGAGAAAAGAACAAAAGATAAACTCAAATGTGAAGCAAGCAAGGGCGCGGATTGCTCAAAATTTGATTGAAGTCACAAGCTCCTTTGGCCCTGTTTTGACTCAATGCTGCGAAAAGAAACAACATCACAACTTGCGAGCATCAGGATTCAGATCGGAGTCCACAGCAAAATCAGCTAAGGCTCAAGATCAAAGATTCAAGAGATCTATAAATAGGAATCTTGTAACCCATAGTTGATAGGCTTAGCTAGCTTAGCTTTTGATTTTCTTTTGGTGTAATAAGGAGGTCAGTAAGCAGTAGCAGCAGCAACAACAGTGAGATCACAGCTCCTGGTAGTCCCAGCTACCAAATTTTCCCGAACTACACTGACCTGATTCCTGTTTAGCCAAGGATATGTAGGCAATCTCAGAAGCAGGGTGCGGTCAACTCTTTCAAGATGCTTCACATGGAATATGCAAACTGGCAAAAATCGCTCATTTCCGCTCACTTGTCTTTGCACGAAAACCCTTCATGTTTCCGGGCAAAGAGGGGCAGCTGTGAGCACGTGATTTTTGCCCTAAGCAATTAATCCAAAGTTCAATATGATTCCTATATTTACAATTTTTTGTGATTTTTTGTTAAATTTTTGTGTTAATTGGTTGCATTTTTCATATGAAAATACAGAAAAAATATGCACATGCATTTAGGGATTTAATTTCACAATTTTAGTATTAATTAGGTATTAATTAGATTTAGAATAAAGTTTAAAGAAAAATTGCAAAAATAGTCTTGTTGCACTCTTAATTGTTAATTGTTGCGTTTTATTTCTAAATAGAGTTTTAAGTAATTTTAGGAAGTTTAAATAGTTTAATTGAGTCTTTGTTTTGTTTTAGCATTTTTTTTATAAAATTAAGAAAAATAAATAAATACAAAAATACAAAAAAAAAATACAAAAATAAAATACAAAAGAAAGGCAAAGAAGGCTGCCAAAATTGGGCCCAAATGGCTAAGCCCGAACAAAATAGGCACCAACCCGTCCCAAACCCGGTCCAACCTCACCCGGTCCAATCCCCCAGTTCATTTGAAACGATGTCGTTTGGACTCGTTCAATCAGGACCGTCGAGGTTCCTTGATCGAACGGTCCTGAAGCTAGGTTTAATTAGTATATATATGTCCAAACACACCCCCCCTACCCCCCAAACCACCGTCTCTCATACCCCGCTGATTCCGGCGTAACGCCGCCCATCACCACCGTCCCCCACCGTCTGCCGCGGGCCGGAAATCGCCTCCGCCGGCGGCGATCGTCCAAATGACCCCGTTTTCACACCCCAGAATCCCCTTTACCTCCCCGTTTCAAATCTCTGAACCCCAGCCTTTAAATCCTAGCCAGTGTCCTCGAATTTTCAATCGAAAAATCAACCAAAACCCTACTTTGTCCGATAGCCCTAAAATTAACACCATAGCCTCACCTTTATCTTTTCAATCCAAACGTCCAAACATCCTCCCTCGAATATGCCTGGAATTCGTCGAATAATAAATTTTAAACCAAGAACCCTAGCGCCGACACAAGATCCCCTGGTGGCGGCGCAGTCCCAAACCACCATAGAACCATACCCTGGACCCGTATCACCCGTTCTTCACTAATCTATGCTTAAATTGTTTCCAAAAAAGCCCCAATCGTTCTGGACCGTGGACTTAGGGTTCTTACCACCAAGACTGGTTTCCCTCAGGGTCAATCAACATTCGAGGGGTCTTGAAATCGTGTTAGGTGTTTGTTCTGGTTAGGAACACACACGTAATACTATTTCAAGACCAACTTCGAGAATAAGCGAATTCTGTGGTCTCAAAAATTAGTAAGTTCTCTTTTCTTGGCTTGGTTTTCTTCTTATTTTGCACATAATAATTTCATTTAGAACTTGTAGGGTTCTAGTTGATTTTGTTCAGATTAATTCTTCTTGGTGTTGTGTAATGTGGTTCTGTTTGGATAATTCAGTGTTTGCTTTCAATTAGACGAACCATGAATGTTCTTTTTAGTCTCAATCCTCTTGGTTGCTGTTAAATATTTGTGCATCACTGGATTAATTAGTCTGGCTTGTTTCTTTTTGGAATAATAAGGAAAACAATAGGATCCTTAGTTCAATAATTCACATTGTTTGGATATAGCTGATTTAACCTAGCAGTTTTGGTTTAACCATAGTTAACCCCAACCAAAGTAATAGGACCAGGTTTAAAATGGTATAGGCCAGTAATTATGGTACAATTAAAGGGTAATCTGGGCATAGAAAAGGGTAGTTTTATTAGGAATAGTAATTGTAAAAGTAGGGGAAGGGTAGTGTAGGAATTGCAATAGGTGTAGGACCTTCTAGAATAGACTTTAGTGTAGTTTTTAATAAAATAAGTGTTGTTACTTGGGTAATAAGTCTTAAAAATAAGGGACTGAAAACTAAATAGGAGAGGGACTAAAAAGAAAACTAAAATCTGAAGGTAACTTTAGGTTTTGCCTATAAAAGGCACCTACATTGCCTTGTGCAGCAAGTTTTGGAGACCCTTGGAAAATTCCCTGGAAGTTTTGGAAAGACCAAAAATTTTTTCCTCAGAAAGTCCCCTCTGTTTTCAGATCTGATTTAGAGATTTAAAACCTTCAAAAATCCAAAAAAAAAAAAGAGAAAACCCAGTAGAAAAGTTAAAATTACTGTTTCATTAGAAATCTGAGCTTAATTTTCATTTTTAGGAATGAATTACGTTCTTCTAGCTTAGTTTCCATCCGCTGAAGTTCCAAAGGTTTATTAGACTTAATTTCACATGGATCTTTGAGTGTAATTGAGTCAATTTTGGATCAAATTGAATGCTGTCTTGCTGTGCCATGGTGCTGGGTCATTTTTTGTGAAAATTTTGGTTCAAATCACTCTTGTTGCTGCTGAGAGTTCACTGCCGTGTTGCTATTACTCAAGCTGACTTCAATTTTCTTTCTCTTTCAATAAATTCCAGGTATTCTTCAACCTCACTGAAGTATGAAGGATTAAATCTGCTAGTGTATCCGAGCCGTTGAATCAATAACAAATATCAGTTTCATGTCTAGTTTGTTTGCGTACATGTTAGCTTACATGATAGATTACGTAGTAGTAGCATTTGAAGCATCGACTATCTGGACTTTTGATAAATTGTAATAATTGGACTGTTAAATTAGCGTGTATTTATTCAGTAATTTAGTTCTAGCATAGGTTAATTCAGAAGTTTATTTAGATTTAACCTCACGCTGAAGTATTTGTATTTGTAACTGATTTTGAGACCATTACATATTTGTGTCCATGTAACTGTGGATTAATAGGCCTGAAGAATAGTCTACACGGACCGCATTTGAGGATTAATTTTACATTTATACCGCGAATTAACTTCTGATGGCGATTGTAGCTTTAAAACACTAATGTCTTATTAGAAACAGGATTTTTGTTGTAAGAAAAGGACACTCAGTTTAGTTGTGAATGCCTGGGCTGTTAGAGCCATGAAGAGCAATTTAACAGGCCCAAAATCAATTTGGAATCGGTCCTTTAGGTCTGTCACAGGCCCAGGCTGCCCAGCTTTGGTGAATAAACTTGGGCTTATGCCATGGCTTGGTATTGGGCAGCCTTGCAGCCAGGCTTATGCCCCAAGGACATAAGAAGCCCAAAGCTGGGCTAATCTTAAAATTAAGCTGGGAGTTAATTCACAAATATAAATACGGGTTTCAAATTAGGTGGTGGGTTCAAATTAAGAGGGTCTTCCCTTTTGTTTGAATTCAGACTTGAATTTGAGGCCCTGATTTATAAATGCGAATCAATTAGGGCCTGTTTAGGGACAACACTGTAATAGAAATCATAGTTTTCTTTTAAGATGTTTTTTTTTAAATAAGG